GTTCTTACGGGATTCCGAAGTTTGATGTACATGGATGACGACTTGGAGGTCTATTTTGTGGACTCTAGTTATATTATATTTTGGGGATCATGTATGACTTTTGAAATAACATGAAAATACTTTTAAAACCTTAGGATAAATATGTCAGACTATGGTTTTATGATCTTTGGTTTCGGATATACTTTTGGAGATGCTTTCATTTTGTTAAAAAAATGTTTAGGTGAATTTGGATGTCTAGGTCAAGTCGGCAATTGTGTTCCTACATTGGTTAGTATATTGTTATCTATATGAATTGGGTGTGACATATAATGACTCTTTAGAGGCGTAAAAGTCACTTTCACTATAGATTAATTTACCATTAATGTTAATTTTTTCATCACTTTTACTTTAACTAGTCAGAATTGAACGGCATTACAAGTTATTCTGAAATTCTCTATAAGTACTGTGAATGTAATAGTTAACCCTCCATTTACCATTTTGATTTAAATATTAGAGAAATGCAAGTCCATGTAAATAAATATTAGTTATTATATATGCACATAAACAGTGAAATGAATACTTGAATGCGAATATTACAATTACAACTAAATACATAAATGTAAATGAATGACACATACGATATATAAATTAACGTGAATGCTAATTAATTTAGAATTAATACCAAAAAATATATTTGTGACAATGAATATTAAATCATTTATACTAAATGAATATAATTTAATTTTTAATTAAGTGATGGACATGAATAATGAATTGCATTCTTCAAATGTGAAATTATAATTTATATTAATTAAATGAATGTTAATGTTAATTAATTGAGAATTGATAACAAGGATATGGATGTGAATATGAATGCAAAATTTAAATTAATATTAATTAAATAAATGTGTATATTAATTAATTGAGAATTAATAAAAAGGAATACATGCATGAACAAGGATATTGTACTATTTATTACAGTTTGTAAATTTAATACATATTAAAAACAAAAAGTAAGGTATTAAATGGGCGTTGCACGCCATTTTAAAATATTTTATTAGTGTAGTAAAAGTAATATTTGATTCTCCATTTACCATTTTGTTCTAAATATTAAAGGAATGCAAGCCTTAGAAAATAAATGTTAATTATTATATATGCACATACATAGTTAAATACACACTTGAATGTGAGTATTAAAATTACAACTAAATGCATATATGAAGATGGATGACAAATACAATACATGAATTAATGTGAATCTTAATTAATTTATAACTAATACCAAAGAATACATATGACAACGAATATTAAATTATAATTTAATTTTAATTAAATAAAACTGAATGCTAATTAGCATACATGAAAGTGAACAATGAACTGTGTCTTTGAATGTAAAACTATAATTAATATTAATAAATGAATGTTAATGTTAATTAATTGAGAATTAATAACATGAACATGAACATAGCCTTGAATGTGAATGTTAAATTATAATTTATATTAATTAAATGAATGTGAATGCTATGGTATCTATTATCCAAAGATGAATCATTCCACTAGTATCAGCCATTTACTCTACTTC